AAAGTTGATCATTGTAAATCTGGGTGGGAGAATTATGTTTTAGGGGATTTGTGTGTTATTTTTGCTTTTCTACAATCAACATAGATTGCTGTGCAAAATTATTTCAGAGAATTTCTTTTTTTTCTTTCTTTTCTTTTTAGGAAGAAAGGTAAGAGGGTAAGAGGTATGTCCCTCAGAAAAGGAGAATGTGAAAGATTGGGGGTAGAAGAGAAGGGAGGTCTTAGGGAGACAGGAGTGAGGTGGATATAGCAGTGCCATAGGGTGCTGGTTAAGAATGGAAATCCTGAAATTAAACTGCATGGCTCTGAATCCTGGTTCTTCCACTATTAAGTGTTTGATACTGGGCATGCTGTGTGATACCTCTGTTCCTGCAGCTTCCTCACATCATAAAGTGGTGCTATTATATTATCTCCCTCATAGATTTATTATGAAGATTTAGTGTATTAATTTTGGAAAGCAGTTAAAACAGCACCATCCTATATTAAGTACTTCATAAATGCTAATTATTATCATTATCCAGGGGAAGAAAAAAAAATAACATTCTAAGAAAGACAAGATAAGGAAAGAGTCACCTCAAATCTTAGACTGAGACCAGGAGACAAAGTCTATTTTTAGGTATATGGGGGACAGTAAGATAAGGGTGAGAACCAGATGGGGAAGACTTTCCATTTCAAGGCTGGGGGAATTAGAAGTGAAATGCAAACTGCTTTTATATCTTGGGCCAAGCTGTGTTGTCTCCCAAACGTCAATGAATGGAAGTAGAGCAGAACACAACATTACATAAGGTCTAAAGAGCTTGGGATAGCTGGGGTGAGGTGAAGTTCATTGTGGTTTTGATTTACATTTCCCTAATGATTAATGATGTTAAGTATTTTTTATACATTTATAATTTCATACATTTATAATTGTTTCATACATTTATAATTTTTTTCATACATTTATAATTATAATTTTCATATATTTATAATTTTCATACAGATATAATTTGTATATCTTCTTTTGAGAAATGTCTATTAGGGTCTTTTGCCCATTTTTAAGTCAGTTTATTATTATTTTTTGCTATTGAATTGTTTGAGGAGAGTAGGTAGAAAGGAGATGAGGAGAGATTGGTCAATGGGTACAGTTGGACAGGAGGAAAAAGTTCTGGTATCCTATTGCACAGCAGAGTTCCTATAGTTAAAAATACCATATATTTCAAAATAACCAGAAGGAAGGATTTTGAATGTTCTCATCACAAGGAAATGATAAATATTTGAGGCACTAGATATGCTAAATACCAAAATTTGATCATTGCCCAATGTATACATGTATGGAAAATCACACTGTACCCTATATACACAATTATTACGTGTCAATTAAAAAATAAAACTAAAAAAGAAGAGCTTTGTTTGTGATATTTAGAATCATTTGGCACCTTGGGGGAGTGCTTTTCTCTTGGACAGGGGATTTGAGCATTGTTGATGAAGGTATCAGATCCTGTAGCATTCCTTGTTTTTTCTCGTTATTCTTGTTTGAATGAAGAGAAGTAATTAAAACTTTTGGCTTTCTCAAGACTGTAACCCTAGAGTGATGATTATAGCTTCTACCCAACATGGTTGTGATAGTTATAAAAACTTTGTTGTGTTATTTAATCCCTGCAATTGGCTAGGTTTCTTTTTTTTTTTTTTTTTTGAGTGGGAAACTTTCCTTTATTTAAAAAGGAAATTTGGCCAGGCAGTGTGGCCCATGCCTGTAATCCTAGCACTTCAGGAAGCTGAGGCAGGAGGACTGCTTGAGGTCAGGAGTTCTAGGCCAGCCTGAGCAAGAGCTAGACACTGTCCCTACTAAAGTAATTAGTCTGGCATCATGGCACGGGCCTGTAGTCCCAGCTACTCAGGAAGCTGAGGCAGGAAGATCACTTGAGCCCAGAAGTGTGAAGTTGCAGCGAGCTATGGAGCCGTGGTGACACCACTGCACTTCTAGCCTGGACAACAGAGCAAGACACTAAGGAAAGGGTTGGGGGGGGAGGAGGAAAAGGAGACGAGACCAGACCAGAGGAGGAAGAGGAGATGAGACCAGATGAGGAAGAGGGGACGAGGAAGAGGAGACCAGACCAGACGAGACCTGACAAGGAAGAGGAGACCAGACCAGACAAGACTAGACGAGGAAGAGGAGACCAGACCGGACGAGGAAGAGGAGACGAGACCAGAAGAGGAGACGAGAATGGACCAGGAAGAGGAGACCAGACGGGATGAGGAAGAGAAAGCGAGGATTTTAGAGTATTTCTGTAAACAAATTTACTTCATACGCAAGAGTCATAAAGAAAAAACAGTGAATGCCTTTAATAATAATGGTGTTAAAGAACACTAAATATGGCATGGTAGATTTATACAGTTATATTTTCAGGTTTGTCATTTGATCTACAGTATATTTGAATCTAATGTTAGAGTCCTACTGAGCCAACTTGCTTGGCTCTACCTGTGAAAATACTACAATAATTCTTATTGAATATTCTTAGTAATAGATAAACACGTTAATCTCTTTGTTCCTAAAACCAAGAGACAATACTACTAATTGAAGTGTAAAAAGATATAAAGAATTTACAAAGTATAGACACTTACACAATCTGATAGCAAAAAATAAACAGTAGTGCATTTTGGGGTTGTGGGTTTTTTTTTCTTTTTAACATAAATGACCTCTCTTCCTTCTCCTTATCAGGCTTAATAAAGGTTCTATCTTGAGAGCCAACAAAGTAATGTCAGCCTCTCCTACTCCTTGTCTGTATGAACTTTTAAGGTATAAAGTATTGGCAAGCACCAAAGAAATATAAAGATAAATAAGACAAACAGTCCAAGAGAAATAAAAACCACATAAAACTGGAATCTATTATTTATGTTCTTTTGTTGCTCTTTTTTCAAACTATTTAATACTAGGAAGCAATGTCAACTACATGCAGAGAGGAGATGAGTTACTGGTCACATGTAAGAGTGCAGCTGAGAGCATCTTACCAACATAAATTGTAATCCATTAAGGCCAACTGCTATTTGTGGTTTTACATTTGTCTGTCTATGACCTCTGGTTCAGAATGGGACACTCCAACCCTGATGGCCTTACCCTTATGTTTCAGGGTAGCCAAGAGCTTGCCTTCTGTTCACCTTGCTCACAGCTGTTCTTACTTGAGTCCAGCTCTCTGGTGAGTTCCCAGCTGCATTTATCTAGGTCTCAGACCTTCAACCTTTGAATCTTGACAGCAGCAAGGCAAATGAAGTTAACATAATTTACTTCTTGTGGTCTCATACTACCATAGTCAATGACTAAATCTAAGCAGTTAGTATGTTGTCTGTAATGTACCCATGTACTCTGTAATGTACTCTCATATTTGAAGCAAAGCCTGTAATTTGATTTGCTGAACATAACACAAATTTTGAGGACATTTACAACTAACCTACCAATACTTACGTAATACAGACTTTAAAATTCACACCCACATAAGCTTTTAATATTTTTACAATCAACATGTATTATTTATGTACAAAGAACAATTTTTTAAAAAGTTCACATCAATTAACTCTGCTACACTTACCTACCCAGATAGTTCTGACAGTCCTGAATCTAAAAAGAACTGGTATCATTTCTTCTAAAGGCAAGGAAATTAATTCTCACATAGCTAAAGTGTATTATATATACTAAGAATAATAGAAGTTAACTTTTATTGAATATTAATATGCATCGCAGACTGAATCCTCACAACTCTATTAGATATATACCCTTTTCCTCATTTTACGGTTAAGAAACCTGGGACACAAAGTTAAGTAACCTGCCCTCAACTCCCCATAGCTAGACAATGCAGAAGTGGATTCCAACCCAGATTGTTTAACTCCAAAGCCCAAGTTAATAGATTAAACTACATTTCTACCTTGACCTCTGCAAAGCAGCAACACACAAACGAAAAACACAAATGAATAAACAAATAACAAATGAACAAACACCCTAGAAGTCACAATAATTGAGAAAAGGCAAAATTTGAAATTGCAACTCTGTGAGGGGGGAGCATTTGTTCAATGAATGAATTAAATACATGAGACATAAACTTGCTCATTTCTTGGCAAGGAAAATTGGTGGGGGGAAGGGAGAGAAGGCAAGAGGAACAAAAAAAACCTACAATTTCATAGTGCAAACCCCCACTATTCTAAGCAACATTGACAAAATCTTGCCTAGAATCACTTCACCAACCAAGAGAAGCAACAACAGACATCAATTCCTACCACCGAACCTCAACACACAACAAAAAGAATTCCTAAAACCAGCTCAGGCAGAGCCAAAAAACACCAAGCTTAGAAATCAGAGCATGTGACTTTAATGTACCCACTAGTTGTGTGATCTCCAGCAAGTCACTTTTCCCTTCTGGGTCTCAATTACGTCAGTTGCAGAGTCAAGGGTTTTAACTAAATTAAGGTGTAACTTTCAGCTCTAAAAATATGTGAAACTTTGCGGAAGAAAAACTCCTGTAAAACTTCGAAAGCCTCGTGGATACATTTTAAACACCGCGAACTATGGGTTTTTTAACCAGAATGTACACTTCTAAGCCGCCACGATCCCTGGCTGGAAAGCAGAGGCCGGCTTTCAAGCCCTTGGGACTCAGAGAGCAAGGTCAAGTCCGGCTTCCAACAGCTCTCAAGGGCTGGTGCATTAACCTCCGCGTGTACTATAATCCAAGTCAGAATTCTTTCTGGGGGTAAAAGCAGCGGCGGCGGAAGGAGAAATCACTATTCCGGGTCATCAGAAACATTAGTCCAGACCCTTCGGGTGACAGAATGAGGCTCAGAGACTGCAAGCATCTTGCCCCATGTTACACAGCAGTTAGCAGCTAGGTCGGGACTAGAACCTCGATCTTTCGGCTCCCCGTGGAGCAAACGATCCTTCCATGTACAGCGGAACAGCAGGAGGGATAGGCGGCGGCGCGTGGGGGGCCGGCCACGAGCGCAGGGGCGACGGGGACAGCCGGGGGCGCCCCAGGTTACCTGTGTCGGCCCCTGCCCCGGCGTGCAGCAGTCTAACCTCCGGCCGCTGCCTGTCGCCGCCCGGCCTGCCGGGCAGCACCTGCCGCAGGAGCAGCCTCACTCGCCGGGAGGCCGCACCGCCGTGGCCGCCGGATGCCCGGAGGAGAAGGAGCCGGGATTGCATGAGGCCGGGGCACCGCCGGGACGGCTAGGGGGTCGGGTCGAGCTGCGTCCCAGGCGGGCAGCGTGAAGCGGCGGGGTTAGGAGGACAGGAAGCGGCACTGAGCTGAGTCCGCCGGAAACTCCTTCCCCCGGCGCGGCCGGCTCCGCGGTCTTGGCCCGGCCTCCGCGGGGGAAGAAATGTGGGGATACGGCACGGAGGGAAGGTCGAGAGAGCCCAAGTGCAGCCATTTTGACCCATAGCAGAACCTGACCACCCAGAACAATAAAGTGGCCAGCGCAGGATCACTTGAGGATGGATAAATTACTAAGCCGAATGCCTTACAAACTGCGCTTTCCTTTCTGTGACAATAGTTTATGATTATCCTTTGTGGCCTAACCTCCAGACAATGCTGGTCACTAACAGGGTTTTTGAACATTTAAAAATGTTACCATTGCCCCATAAGGGGTCCCAGTCCTGCTCAGGAAAAGACCTCTACTCTGTGATGTAGGATCTATTGTCTATCTCCCAATAAACTTTCTGTCGCGAGTTGGCTTACTCTCAAATTCTTTCCGGCTCGAAGCCAAGAACCCACTTACGAGTTCAGGGGGCTTTCGTCCCTTCATTGGGACACTCCCTGCATCAGAAGGAGCCTGCAGCACGTCCAGCCCAGAGGGCAGGCGCAGCCAGCTGGGCTGCAGCTCTTGGCACCACTCAGCTCGCCACCCCTGTGCCTGTTCGCCCGGATTCACCAGGCCTGAATCCCTCCTTCCCCTATAGTCCCATCAACTCTCAGTTCAGGGAATGCTAAAGGGTTTTAGTAACATTTTGTCGGTGTGGCTCTTCAGATACTTGCGCTAAATCTTTTCTTAATTAATGGCCCAGTTTTGTTACAGTGCGTTTTCCCTGAACGCTGCTTCAAGTCCTCTTCGGAAATTCAGAAAATATGCACGAGATTATGGGAACTTTCACCTATCTTGATTCATTGTAACCACACCAGCGTTCCCATAGTGCATTTGAAAGCCTTACCCTTTGTCTTTTTTGTGGTTGTTGTTTCTTTGTTTCTATGTTTTATTGCCACTTCCTAAATTCCAAGTGGAAAATTCACGTCTTAATGATATATAGAAATTGCTCAACATCAGAAGGGACCCAAATCAAGCACTTTTTCGGTCATACTGTAATACAAGAGTTATATAAACATAATTTATGTCTTTAGTAAGAGAAAAGTAGGACACTGGCTAAGGCTGCCTCCTTTCATACATTCCAAAAGCGGAAGCGGTTGTACCACAAAGCAAACTAAGCCTAATATAATTAGACTCATCCTCAAAATGTCAGAAGTGAATTGACAAAGGCAAAAAGTTTGAATCAAGTTGTACAAAACAAACATCAAAGAATGCAGAAGGCCTCACTTTCAGCTAAAGGCCTTGCTAATTCTAGAGCTGCCACTGTCTTTAAATACATATTGAGCACCGACCAGGTGCATAACCCTGTGATAGGTTCTGAGAAGAAAGTGATAGAGAGGAAGGAGGCTGTAAAAGAGAAACAAGGCTAGATGAGGAAGGCTTTGTACATCTAGCTGAAGGGCTTGGACTTGAGGAATGAAGGGTGAAATGGGCTTCTAGCCTAGTTGGGGAGATAGTGAAAATAAAGGTAACAAATATTTACATAATGCATTACAACATGGTTTCATCTGTATCTTCTCATTTAATCCTTACAGTGACCCTATAAGACTGCTGGGAGAAATGACATAAATTCAGGATGTAAGCTTATAAAATACCTTTCCCGCTTTGAACACATACTATGTGCCAGGCATTGTGCTAAACACTTTAATGGTTTATCTCATTTCACACAACAATGCTTTGATTGAGGTACTATTACTATCTTACATTTTACAGATAAAGAAACTGAGGCTGGAAGAATTAAATACATCAGCTCATCTCCATTTAATCTCATGGGGAAACTCAGTACACACATGAAAGAATAGAAGAACAATCTAAGGCAATTTAGCAAAATGACTGCTATAAGCACTAAGAGCTTTTGGAGTTAAGACAACAGGGAGATCAATATAGGTTAGAACATTCATTGAGCAACTGCTGTATAACTAGTACTCTGTTAGGTACCGTGATACAATGGGCGCACATCAAGAATAGAAGACAAACATACAAATAAAGAATTACAATACAGTGTGACATGTAGATTTTGGCTCAAGGTACTCTGGGGTGGAGTGCTACACCCGGGAGAGGTCAGTGAGCCCTCACAGAGATGGCAATGTTTGAAATGGTTCTTGAAGGATATGCAGGAATTTGTCAGGCTGAGAAAAGGGCAAGTCAAATCTGGCAGAAGGAAGATCACATACACAGAGAGAGCTGAAAGTACCTGGCATGATTAAGAATCAGAGAGTGATTCAATGTGTCTAGAGTTTGAGTACATAAAACAGTGTGTAGGGATAAGACCAGAAAGAGAAATTGGGGCCACATTGTATGCCAAAAGGAGTTTGCACATTAACCTCTAGGAAATGGAAAAATGATGAAGAGTTTTTACAATGACAAATCTACAATGTGAAAGAAAAATTTGAACCAGAGAAAAGGTAGTACTTGAGCTTTACTTTGAATGATAGTTTGCATTTGGATAAACACAGAAGGAGTATAAAGGACTAGTAGAGGCTCGGAGTCCTGACGAGCATAGTTAATTTATAGGAGCAGTGAGATCAGCCAGGTGAGATGGGTGGGTAATCTTTGAGAAGTAGTAGCTGTTGTCAGAGGGGGAGGAAAAGATTATAGAGTGAAGAATCTTGAATGGCTGGGTGAAGAAGTTGGACTTTATTTTAGAGGCATATTGGGCAGCCACTGGACATTTTGATCATGACACTTTAGGTGGTGACATGTACTATGACTTGAGTTAGGAAGACAGAAAGCATCAAGTGCTAGGTATGTGGAAGTAAAATTAGTCTCTGCTTGAAATGCTGAATCCCTGCTGGCAGCAATGAGGCTGAATAGGTAAGCATGGACCTTAGCAATGTTTTTAAAGATGAACCAAAGGTGTTTGGTCCATCACAACCTCATTAAAACTTCTCTCAAAGTCTCACTACAATGTCTGATCACATATTTTTTAAAACTCATATACTACCAAAAGCTGGTATTGACTGTCAAACTTTTTCCAGCATCTGGGAGGAATATTTTTTACCTACCACATTAACGTAACTTGATGGAAAATGCAATTGATAATGCATCCACACTATGTTCAACTGAAAGAAGGTAGGTGCTCCATTGCTTCCTAAAAAAATGAAGAATCAGAATAGAACTGGAGTTTCAAAGTCATAACTAACAAATGGGAAAGAGAAGACAATAATATAACCCTGGGTGCTTGTTTATGGGCTTATAATAAATATGCCAATAAGATAATTTTTTATTTTATTTTTGCACTGTTATAATATTTAAATTTGTTGAATTTTGAATGCATAAATGGCACCTTTTCCTATAGATTTATTTATTTCTGGGTACATTACAGCAAGAAGTATGTTTGCTATATATTACAGTCACCCCCAGGGAGAAATTTGCCTTTGCTATAGCAATAGCAGAAACCAGAAGACAATGAAGTAATGCCTTCAAGATGCTGAAAGAAAATTATTTCCAGGCCTGGTGCAGTGGCTCTTGCATGTAATTCTAGCACTTTGGGAGGCCTGTTACCAAAAGTTTGGCACTTGTCCCTGAGGCCACATCAGAAGAATGAGGACAAGTGGTTTGAGGAGAAGGAAAAGGGAGTTTATTAATTTGCCTGCAAATGAGGAGATTGGCAGACTCCTGTCTCAAAGTACCAACATCCTACCTCTGAGCAGAAGTACAGAGCTTTTAAAGGTTCTGATTAATCCAATAATCCCATGTTTGGCTAAAATGATCTTGTAACCTCTGCCTGGGCAATTCCCCGGAACTATCTCCAGTGTCACAAAGAACAAAGGACACTCTCCTGCCCTTCCTGACCACTGGCCTGAGGCAGGGATGTATGTTTTAATTCTCAAAAAGGGCGAGGGGGTTTTGAAGAGACAGAAAACATTTTTACCTTTTTCCAGGCCATTTCCTCTGTTACAGGGTGGGAGGATTGCTTGAGGCCAGGAGTTTGAGGCCAGCAAGACCCCATGTCTAAAAAAAAAAAAAGAAAATTATTTCCGAGAATTATATGCCCAGCCAAACTACTAATTAAGAGTGAGAGTAGAGGAGACACTTTTTCAGACATGCAAAGTTTCAAAAATAATCTATTTCCCATATTTCTCAGGAAGGAAAGAAATAAGCCAAGAAGGAAGAAGATAGGGAGCCTTGGAAAATAGAGATCTCACATAGAGAAAAAGGGAATCCCTGAATGATGGTGAAGAAAATCCAAAGGAGACAGCCATGTGGCAGACCAAAAGGCCACCAGTCTCCGTGGGATCATGTCTGAGGGGTCAAAGAGACTTCAGGATCAGAGTCAGTAGGCATTGTGAAGAAAATAGAAAACACCACCTCATGGGTTTGAATGTATTGAGTTAATGACAATTACATGAAACACAAAACAAACAAAAGATTAATTTAAAAGAAAACAATGTACAGGAAAGGGGAAGTGGAACATACTATATGGCTTAACTGTAACTGGCATTTACATAGTCATAATAATGTAAATGTTGAATATTATGCTAGCCAAAATTATGCCATAAACATATTGGCAAAATAGGAGAAGAGTGACTGGTGAGGGCAAGGAAATTAGAGCTAAATATCCATCTTCCAAAGTGAAAAATCAATGGAGAATAATGCCTGAAGCTGAAAAACTCACAAACTTGCAATATAAGCATGTTATTTGAGATATTGAGGTAAATTTCAAGAATCAGCTAAAAGAATTGAAAACAGTTGTGGGAAATTGGTTAATGGGGAGGGGCGTTCAGAGGACGGTTTTCTCATAACAATCTTAAAATAACTAAATTTGGAGAAAATAAAGGGATTGTGCCAATATTTACTCCCACAAGTTTGTATGAGAGTCTCTGCTTCCTTGATGCCTTA